AAAGGTTTTGTCTTGTTTAATTAAAATAGGTTATTGTTATCTTTAATATTGCATTATTTACCCTTATGCCATAACATAATTTATCAGTATTAAAAGCGGATTTATTCATGTTTAAAGGTATTCACTTTTGTTGTTAAATGAATTGTGGAGCTTCAAAAATTATAAATCTTTTCTTTATATATTATTTTCCTTTAATAAGTTAAAGCAAATTGTAACAAGCAAATTCATCATTCACCAAATCAATAAACAAACCTTTAGTTGAACGCTTGTTGTTTTATGAAATTTTTTTTTTTTTTTTTTTAAATGGCGGGCATTACAGAAAAAAAATGGGAGAGAATTTCTCAACCTTTTTAAAAAACAGGGTGAGATTTTAAAAAGTTAAGTGAGATTTCTAAAAATTAAAAAAAACACGAATAGACTTGGAAAAAAATTATTTCTCCAATTATAATACATTTTTAACATTTTCTAATTGAATATTTTTGCTGCATTATCATATGGAAAATGTTCTATATCTACTTTTTCAGTATTTGTTTCGTTTTGACCATTTCTACCGACATTTGTTTCATTTTCATTTGTCCGCTACAGAGTAGAAGATGTCACCTTAACAAGGTATTTGTCTATCTTAGATTCATGCACAAAAAATGTGAACGTCTTACATGAAGAAACCTTACCTACGATGAACACGTGGTTGCAGAGAAATGTGTTCTGACAGGGGTTCCGTGGTTCGGGAGGGGGTGGTGTTCTGTTGTTCGCACCGGTTCTGAACAATACTGGTAAATAGGCAAGCTAGATAACAAGGACCGATGTTCAAAATAATGAAAGATCAAGGAAGAAAAGTGAAGCGGATTTTATTCAAAATGGCAAAAGGCGAAATTTTTTCCAAAATTCGCTCATTTTGAAATTGACTAATAGAGTGCGCGAACTTCTCACGTTTATAATTTTTTATTGCTAGAAAAGAAAAAATATGCGAGATTCTCGCTTTCTCGTGCTGTAGTGAAAACACTGCTATAAATATAATTGACCATCGGTAACTTTTAGCTAATTTTTACTAGAAAGCATGTTTCTAATTTGCCAGTTTGCTATGCTTCTAATCAATAAATTCAACTTCTAGCCTGTCTTACTTCGTCAAGATAATCTTGGGAGGTTTTTTAGTATTTTTTCCTTCCACGTTACGCAAACATCCATTAGTTTCCTTGTTTGTTGCTTGATCTAGGAATTATTTTATCTTTTGGAGGTTCAAAATTACTAGGGCATAGAGATGGAATCCAAACACCACTGTATAAATCTTCTGCTCAACATTGGTAATAAATTTGAATATTTTACCGAATGTTGAAATTAAGAAGCTTTATTAAGGTCGATCTCATTGCGCATAAACTGCATTTATAGTTATCGGATGAATAAAAAATAAACCCTGATATTTAAATCATATTTCCTTTAACATGCAGTTATTTTATAAAAATATTTTTTAAATATATTGTGTTTAATAGAAGCTACATGGATAAATTATTGCTAAAATTTAATGAAATCAAATTAAAAACTCTACTATTAGCGGGTGAAGTTTACTATTACCAGATGCTTCGGCTTCATGTCAGAGTCTTGGGTTAATAACATTATACATCTGAGCAGTCATCTTAAATTTTATTTTTGAAACCTTTTAAAATGTAAAACTAAAACCTTTTTATTTATAATTAAATGTTTTTATTTTTACATTTATATAATCGTATATAGCGTGTACATTTATATAGCATGTGATAAATTTTCTAAGAGCTATATCATGTAAATTATTTGTTTGATAAAATATTATACGATGTTTATATTGCTTTGCATGTTAAAATACCTAGTCGGGTACCCAGACCTATCAAAATTTTAAAACTCGGTACATCTCCATTGCTGTAGTCTTTTATTGATATCAAAACTTAATTCATTAACTTATTTAATGTATTATTATAATTTAATCATGCAGCAATCTTTTGGAATATGTTTATCATAAAAATATTTGTATAGTGGTAAAAAATTAATTTTTAATCACTAATTAATTTAAATTTTTGAAGTGTATTTTTAAAATAACGATGCTTCCTTTTAGAGAAAAACGATACCTCTATCGTTTGAAACCCGTATGAAGATAGCATATGAATCTGCTTTGGGAATCAACCATTTGCATACTTTTGGAACAGAACCAATGGTGCACAGGGATATCAAAAGGTTATTTTTTATTTTATTTTTTATCTTAACTTAAAAACAGTTTTATTACATGATCATGTAGCATATACTCTTTCGATTTTTTAAGTTATTATTTATAGTTAAAAAGACCATGAGCATATTTTGATCTGGACCTCCTTTACACCATTATCAGCTAAAACTAAGCAAATTATCCCTACTTTAAAAATTTTTTTAAAACTAAATATTTTTTTAATTTATCAGTTTTTTGTCCTAGTAAGCATTGATAATACTCATTACCTTCCTTCAGCAAAATTCCTCTTAGTGCGTAGATAATACTTGAATAACAGCAAAAATGCTTAGAACTGCCCAAAAATTCACAAATGTGCAAAAGATGATTTGCTGAAATCTGGTACTGTTTAGTATTTTTAAACATGCATAAATGTTTAAAATTGAGATTTAAACTTGATGAAAAGTTTATTAAAATCTATTCCTTTTGTTTTAAACCAGAATAAATTGGTAATGTTTAAAGCCAATTTTCGGTCAGAAATAGGTTGAATTTGAGCTGAAATTTGGTTCTAAAAGTGTATATTAATGATTGTTTCGCAAAATTTTCATGTCACTCAAGACAATTTTTGCTTAAAATGTAATGTATTCATGCAATAATCAGATTGATCAATGGTGTGAAATTATTGGAATTACTAGTCAAATTCTTTTGTAAATTTAATGTCAAAAGAAATGTCAGATAATTATTTAATATTTTTTTGTGTCTCATGTTACTAACTTTTATTCAATATACAGTTTTAGATAAACTAATTCTGACATTTCAATGTTATGGAACGAAAACTCTCTTGAAAAAAAAATATATATCAAGGCACACACAATACTCAGATGAAATCTTCTGTGAATCCAGTATAGAAATTATTTTAGTTATTACACGCAAGATTTTTTTTTCTCGAAAACAACCTTCTTAAAACAAATTTGCTATCGAATTATTGGGTATTCAGTGTTGTATTTGATTTAAGAAGAGATACTTTCTAGAAAGTAGATTTGGGCACATACAAAAAAAAAAAAAAAAAAAAAAAAAAAAAAAAAAAAAAAAAAAAAAAAAAAAAAAAANAATAAAAAAAAAAAAAAAAAATAGAAGAAGGAGAAGAAAGAAACATTAATTTTTGAATAATAGAGAACACCATGGCAAAGACTCCTGACAAAACTGTTAGTAGAGCGCCATCTAGCAGCATTATCTTCAGTCCTTCTCCAGCTTTGACTATGTCCCTGTTAAATGTTCTTTTCATTTTTAAGAGTTATTCTTTTCCCCTTGTTATGATGTTTTGTATTTTGTGAGTGTTGTATAAGCCAGCGGTTCCCAAATGGTGTTACTTGGAACCCTACGGTTCCGTGTAAGAGTAAAAGAGGTTCAAGGAGTAAGCACTTTTTATAACCAGTGATGAGTTTTGATACCTCTGATTTTATTTAGACCCCGCCTATAATTTATAATTTATTTAATATTTCATTCGCTTTTATGAAATTATTTCAAGTAAAATACCAATGAAATAGAAATTGCATTTTCTAAAGAAAAATATGAAATTTCCAATTACAATATTTTCAACAAATTATGAAGAAAAAGTCTTTTTTAAAATATTTCATTAGTATCCTCTATTGTGCTTTTTAAATCAAAATAACTAAATTATTAAATAAAAAAATATGTTTTTATGATAACCATTTTCAACCCTTATTACCATTATTTTAAGTTTTCATTTTGAAGTAAATAATAATTTGGCTTATTTTTATCTTTCTCAGCTCATGTATATGCATGAGAAGAAAATTCATAGCTGGACTAGATATAACACAAAGACTGCCAATTTAACAGTCAGACACAAAATCTAATTTAATATTATTAATGATAAAATGAAAAAAACTTTGCTCTAATTAAATATAGTCTTTTATGGATTATAACGTTCACAATTTCCTTTTCATTTAAAGTAGCGATTCCACCGAAAGCTGGTTGACTAATTAGGGTTCCATAACCGAACAAAATTGGGAACCGCTGATAATATTTTATATGAAATTTGCAAAAAGCTAGTGGGCATCTTAAATTTCAAATAGAAATTGAAACAAATTCTTAAGCTCAAGCAATTTCCTCTGCATTTTTTTTGGGAACTATATAATGGCTGCTAATCTACGTGTGTTTATAAATGGAATGGTATAAAATATTATTATGTGCTGGTAGCATTCCGTGTAGAAACAGAACAGTATTAAAAGGCTAAAAAATGAGCTATTTGAATAAACATTTGCTTATATGCAATTTGTTATATACTTTTTATTATTTTATGACACTATTGTGTGACTTTTTATATGTTTTTTTTATGTGATATTTATACAAAATTATATTTCAGTGCAAATATTTTGCTTGATGTCAACTTCTCCCCAAAAATAGGAGATTTTGGTTTGGTAAGGATTGGAGATAGTATAGCATCATCAACTGTTGCTGTTACAGCAAATGTAGTTGGAACTTCCGTTTACATGGCACGAGAAGCATTTAATGGAGATGTATCAACAAAGTTGGATACATTTAGTTTTGGAGTGGTATTACTAGAATTACTGACTGGACTGCCACCATATGATGTCAATCGGGAAGATAGAGATTTAGTAAGCTATTATTTCAAATATATATATATATATGCAGTTGAACCCCGGTTTGTCGAACCCCTATTTACCGAATTTCGCTATTTAACACATTTTAGGAAGTAGATTTATAGGAAACAGTAGATAGCGACTTTAACACAGCAGTCCGTGACAATGAATCTCCGATGAAAACTGTTACTTTTTCTAATGCTTTGTACGGTTTGGAAACAGTGAAAACTTACCTAATGCAGCAAGATGTAATTGAAGGAGTATTTTTTTCTCTTCATTACGTCGAAGAAGAGCTTTTTAAAGTAAGAAATCAAGGAAATAAGCAAACATTTCCCACGAAATGCTTTAAAATTTCAAATTAATCAGCGCGTAATCACTCGCTGTATTTTAAATTCCTCAATAAAAAGTGTGAGATTTCTTTTTATTTTGTGTATTTGCTTATTAGAGATGTTCAAGTATTTCATAAGGCTAGTCAATTTTCTTTTTTCATTTTGTCTCCGATATTGCAAATTTAACTCCGATTATCAAATAATATTTTCGGTCCCTATGAATTCGTTAAATTGGGGTCTGACTGTGTGTGTGTATATATATTCTATAATACATTAATATTTCTATAATTTTTATTTTTCTTCATTTTTTTTCTTTTTTTCCCCTTGTTTTCTATGCATTTTTATCTTAAGTATACATATAATAAAAAATTATATGATTTTTTTCCTTTTGATTATTACTTTAAAACTTGAACAATTCTGTATCAAATTTGAAATGAGGAAATTTTTCCTTTCAATACTTCTGCATTTGTATTTTTAATGATTGAAAATTTTGATTACGTGTCTTAACATCAAATTAGTTTACAGATAATTCTTTTCATGTGAAAGGTCTTAGTAAAATAATTAAAAAGTTAATCATTTGCACATTCAGAAATTTTCACTCTTTTTTTTTCTTTTTTTAAGTGTTTTAATAAAGTTGATCAAATTAGTAGTTGTGAAATATTCTTAAATTTCTTATGCAATAATTGGAACACTATTTTTTGTTTAGACAACTTTTATGGAAGACTGTGATGATATTTCAACAATGCTTGACAAAAAAGTTATTTGGAAAATTGAACCTGCTGTGGAATTACATAGAATAGCAAATTTTTGTCTTACCAGAGCAAAAAAGAAGCGACCTGAAATAGCTGAGGTATAAATATAGATTATTTATATTGCTTAATGACTATTAATTGCTTTATATATATTTTAATTGTAAATAACTGGGATACGAATATTAATTGTTTAAACATATATAATATGTATGTGTATGAAAACATAATTTTTTTCATATAACATATTTTTAATGCATTTTATTTAAACTTCTTAACTGCAGGATAATTGAAGATCATTGGTTCGATTCTAGATTCGAATCAAAACTTTAGGACATGCTTGGTAAGGTAGACCTGAAATTTTAAATTCCCCTCAGTAGCCAGTGGCATGTAGACACTAATAACTTAGTAGACACTTTTTTTAGACACACGGACATCGATTCGTCGTTTTCATTTAATAGCCTCTTTTTGCACACTTTTTCTTAATTGGATTAAATTATATATTTTTAAAAAAATTTTTACGAGAAATAATCTTTGGCTTTGAACAATAAAAATAATATAAGTATGTGGCAAATTTAGTTTAACATTTTGACTTTAAAAAAACTTTATTTAAAAATATTTAGGGGGTAAAATACATTTAATGCATATGTTACAACTTTGTATGTATACATTACAACTTCCACTTAAATATTTTCTCTATAAATTAATGGATTCTGAAAGGTCAAAATTTTGAATGGCAAAGTTTGATATCTTAAGCAACTTTGAACTCTTAATTGTGTTTTACAGAATATTTTGTTTTACAGAACGATGGAAAGAAGTGGTCGATTGTTTATTTAATTTAAGTTGCTACAGTGATTGTTGACTCTCCACATGGCTAGTGGTTATTTTCACATCTACAGCAATATACATACTGAACAGTTATACTGTTTATAAGCCAGGAAAGAGTAGCAGATCAGAGGCCAGTCCATGTCATTTGCTGATGAAAATAAATTCTTTATTTTTACCACGCCCTCTAAAAATAAAAGGCTGGGAGTGTATATAAATAATAATTGCCAACAATTGTGTAACCACTAACATTTATGATGAAGTTGAAATTTTTCTTTGTGTCTTTTTCAATGAAAATTTTTTTTTTAAAAAAAATCATGTATATAAATTTGCATGCATACAGACCTCTTTATATCTTCAGTGCATAAAAATACTATAATTCTTATCTAATAAAAACTAGAATTTTTTTATACCTTAAATTTACCTTTTAAAATAAGACTTTTTTGGAGGGAAATGCATTAAAAATAATCTGCTAGCTTAAGGCCACCGTTTTAGATTAGGAAAAAAAAACTATGTCAAAATGGTTGCAAGGATCACATTTTAACTTGAAAATAAACCAACCAAGTTGGCTTACATTTCACAAAAACAGTAAAATTTTCTAACAAGATTAAATTTATAATTTTACTGTACACTATAAGTACAAATTTTTACAGACTATTAAATTATACTATTGATTTGGAATTGTATTTTTGTAATGGTAGACACACTACATAAAGTGATGTTTTTTATATATTTTACTAAGTTTTTGGCCTAAAATCACAGCTTTCTAGGATTATAATCTAGGTCACTTTTCTTTCATTCTAAAGAAATTCAAGATCTTCCGTAATATATATATAAAAAATGATTTAATTAATTTCTTGGAAGCTTTTGCTGAATTAAATTACTAAATTTTGGTTGTCCTATCGCAATAAATAGTTCTCTGCATATGTTTTAATGGGTATTAAAATAATGTTGCATTTATTGAATAGCTAATGAGACTTCATGGATCTTTATACTGTATTGAGGGTTATACTAAAGAGAATAATTCATTGTGTCATTCCATTTGTTTACAAATATATAATATTTGCACAATAGTTTGTCTAAAGTAAGAACTCCCCTAGCCATTTGTCTAGACCCGTGACGGTGAATATGGTAACAAAGTATAACTATTTCAAGTGGGTGTGTGGGGTCAATGTGTAGGAAATTGGGTTGGCAAGAGAAACGGAATCTTTTTCTTCGGTTTATTGTGTTAGCCATAGAGTGAAGAGAAGCTACCCTTCCTGAAATGCACTATTCTTGTTTCCATAGCAGCAGACGACCTTAGACTTTGTGACGCTGAAGTTCTTAACGGTAGACAAACTATATTTGTTTTAATATTACTAATTTCTCCTCAATTCCTAAGACTAGATCCTTTTAACATTACTGAATTGTTTTATTGTTAGCTATTCAAATTATAAATTCCCAAGACTAGATTGTTTTAAAAATAAAAAAATATATTTTATTGCTAACTGTTTAGATTACTTAATGCTTAAGATATTTCTGTAGAAAATACCTAAAGTGCTGTAAAGTAATAGAAATTGTTAAATTTCATTAAACCAAAATAAAGTGTGATATTAAATTAGAAATTTAGATGAACCTGATGGTAAATAATCTGAAATTATCAGTTGCAATGTTCATGTTAATTCATTTTTGAATCTGCATCCCTATGTGTTATATTTTGCTTGAATTTAATTTTTCTAATTTGATTCTTTTTTGTGTTTGCAGGTTCTATCAGATTTACAAAAATGTTGTTCAGTATGTACTGCCCCTGTTCCAGATCAGTCAGAACATTTTTGATACTTTATTTATGCTCTTTTGTCGCATTCCTTGTACATTTTATGTAATCACAAACTCAAAAATTGCATTTATCTAATTACTAATACATTTTATACAATTCTGAACATCATATTCCGTATTAAATATATGCTTTAAATGTGTTAGTTTTTGCATTTAAGTGATAATATTATTTAAATATTTTAGTTCCAACATTGTTGATGGATAATAATCAAATGATTAACGAAAAAGTGTCATTTCAATATCTGTTTTTGAAAAAAAATTTACAAATTGTTAAATTTTTCAAATGTATATTTTCTGATGATTCTATTAATGTTATATTAAATGAGAGAGAGATTTTACATAATAAATGATTAAATTTTGATATAATGAATTTTAATGTTTTATTGTTATGTGCTTGTTGAATCTTTCTATTTTTTATATAAATATTGTGAATTTAACAAAAAATATTTACCAATAATTATTTTTTTCTTTTGATATGCTGTAATTATACAAAGAATCTGAAAATTTTTGCTGTTAGCTACATAATTTTATTGCTAAATTATAACAATGAATATGTGAATTCTTTTGCATGTGTAATACAGCATATCATGTTTCTGTATTCTCTAGTTCTACATTGCAAATTTTCAACTTCTGGAAGCCTTAATCATAATTATGATCTATTATTATTAAATTTTTTATTAAATCATTTATTATAATGTTATTTTATTTAAAGAGTTATTGTTTTAAAACGTCTTCTTTAAACTTGTTATAAATGAATATATTCAAAATGCAGTATTTTCTGACATATTCTTTATTGCTTTGCTGTGATATAATTTTCAGCAATAAAGTTTCTAAATGAACAATGTTATTAGTTATTCGTATATTCATAAAATCTACTTTTATAAATTTAAATTTATTTTAGATTTTTACCACCATTTCAAAATAAGTTGTTAATTCTCACATCATGAATTTTTGTTTATCTAAGTGATTTTATAATTTTAAATCCAAAATTAAAAGCAAGAGCACTCTTGCTCCAGTATAAGAATAAGTTTACTTCATAACTGATGCATTTTTTTTATTATTATCAATTCTATCCTATTTAAGGCAAAATCATGTGCCTTTATAGTTTTTATTTAGAAAATTTTTGGAAATATTAAATAATAAAATTGATCATCTCTAACATTTTCATTAAATAACGCACAAATCTACTTTTATATAGCTTAAATTCATTTTTTTAAACCCTCTTTTTCATCTCAAATTTAAGAAGTGATTTAATATATTTTTTTATTTATGTGGTTCAATGAATGTTTTTTATTCATATTTAATATGTATTTTGCAATCTTCATAATTTTGTATTTTAAAATTGCTTTGTGTGCCTTAACTTCATTGTATCTTTTAAATGTTTTGATACATTATAATAAACATGACTATTATTAGATTAAAAACTTCATTCACTTCAAAAAATTACAAATTGGAAATAATAGTTGACATGTATCAAGTGCTCAAAATATAGACACCCATTTTCAAGACTTGCCAGATACCATTGAGAAGAAACAAAAGTGGTTTGAAATAAAAATGTAAAGTTTTTTTCTAGTTTTGTTTTCTCACCATTATTTTTTAATTTTTCTTTGGCAATTTTATGTTTTTATTTCAAACTACTTTTGTTTCTTCTTATTCACGTCTGGCAAGTCTTGAAAATGGGCTCCCATGTTTGGAGCATTGGAAATCCACTGTTATTTGTAAATTTTTGAAACGAATGAAGTTTTCAATCAAATAATATCTTACCACTTCAGTTTCTTTGGATTATTTATTTAGAAAGCGTAACTATTATTCTATGGGCATATCCAGTGATGCTTTTGATTGAAGAATGCTGTTAAAGGGAGTTAAGAGTTCTTAAAACTTTATGAAAATACTCATATGCATAAAAGTAAGAAAAAATTCACGCTTTCACCTTGTCAATAAATACATTTACATATTCCGTTTCGCTTTGAGTTAGATCACAGCATACCTGCCAACATTCATTCTTTTCGAGAATGGATTTTCCAAGTGGTAGTAAAACAATTACCGAAAAACAGTTTTACTCAAAAAGATATTTTTATTTTAACCAGGATGAAATTTGCTATCGTGAGGATTAATATGCTTTTAATGTATTTGTTGTTATTATTTATATGTAGTTGTGGTCAAACTCATTTATAATTATTAATATAATTCAAAAAGTTTAGTGAAATAACATGAATTTTGCTAGCACTTTAAATATGAAAAAAGAAATCTTCCGGGAAAACCGGAAGAGTTGGTAAGGCTTGGGTCAGTCCATTTCCATTTATTAATTGTCAGATCAATCAGTTATGTCAATAAATGACAACTCACTATTTGTTATTTTTTAACTAACTCAGAATATCGAAAATTATATTATTTTTATAATTATATAAATACTTTATTATCAATATAGTACTATGAGCCGTGAGGGAACTGCGCATAGAGCGTTCACCTCTCATTGAGGTGTACCGGGTTCAAATCCCAGTGATGGCTGGTTGGCATAAATTCCGCAACCGTCTCTCACCGTCCACAGTGCTGACATAAAATATCCTCAGGGAATTGTGAGTTTAAGTTCCCTTGCTGTCAGGCTAATCGTGGGAGGTTTTCGTAGTTTTCTCTCCGTGTAACACAAATACGGGTTAGTTCCATTGATAAGGCTTCCAGGAAGGTAAATTTCTCCCAAGACTAAAACCAGAACCAAACTACACATTAATTATGTGAATTATATTAGAGCAATAATTTATATGAGAGCTATAAAATAAAGAAATTCATTTAAAAAATGTGCTAAATGAATCTTAAAAACCTGTCTAATATTAAAACATTTTAGTTTCTTAGATATTTATTTCCAACAAAAACCATTTTAGTTATCTTTTTTGTTTTGGCAGTTCATTTATAGATTTTTAATTATTTTCCTAATATTTCAGCATAAATTTTTATATTTCCTTTGAAAATATTTGTAATTTAGCTGTTATTTTTAAATATTTAGTCTTTTTTTTTAATTGCCATTTATTGGCATATCTATATTTATACATTATTACATTCATTAGTCTTAAGAATGTATGAATTTCAATGATACTTTTTTCTCATTTACCTATTTTTTTAAAAATATTTATTGCTATATGCATATTTTTACTTTGTAATTGCTATACCTCGTTTGCTCCACTTTCAATATTTATTGCTCTCTTTAATAAACAAATTTTGATACTTATTTCATTGAAGATGAGAATTAGTTAAGTTATTTAAAGGCTTATTGTATAAGCAAAATATTTACTTGCCTTTTTTTTTATTGGTTACAAATTTTGTGCCATGTTCTTTATGTGGATTTAATGTGAAACTCAGCATATGATTTGAATTATAAAAGTGGCAACAAAAAAATATCAAATTTAATCAAGAGACATGTAAAGATTCTATAATTTTGCCAAATTCCTTGTAAACAAATACCAAATCTGTTTTTTTCTAGTCAATATTTTATTAAGCATTCATTTATGCATGTACTTTAATTTAACGATTTTCAGAATACCCTTAAACTTATTACATAATTCTAATAAATTGTTTGGCAGTTCTTTTAAGTGTTTTCTGTTTCACAAGCCATTAAATCACAACCTGTCTTATGCTTAAGCCAATGAGAAACTTGGCAGGATCTGAAAAAGAACATAATTTAGTTGAAGTTATTTATAAATGTTATATTTATGTAAATTTGTTTTTTTATTTTTTATTATTATTTATTTTAATTTTACTACTTATTAAATATATCTTTCTAGATTAAGCTCTAAATAAGAAGGGAAAAACTCATTACTTTTAAAATGTGCGTTATTACAATTTTTGGTGACTATTTATAAATCTACTTGTCTTTGTTTAAAAATAGAAATTATCTCATGCTAATTAATGAATTTAAAGGACACTATTATCTTTGACATGTTCAGAAATATTTGTTAGAAGATTATTATATACACTGTATTTTTCTAACAAAAATGCAGTTTAATAGATTTTTTTAATAAAAAGTAAGTTTTTAAGGAATAAATTGGTTTTTAATTAAAATTCCAGATGGAATAAAATTATTGTTTCAAAATTATGAAACTGAAAAAGCTCTCATTAAAAAATAAGAATTCCCGCTTCTCTTTGAAGTTAATAAAAAAAAGAAAATAAGTGGGAAATTGTTAAAATGTGAAATTTTAATTACTGTGATTATTCTGAGATTAATACAAATATTTTATTTATCTCTTTATTTATTAATTTTTTTGTCAAATTGTAGTCTTTACTCTTAATCATTTAGGCAAGTTTTTTCTTCTTTAAAGTTTTCTTTGTATATCATTTTCTCTTTGAACTATAAAAAAAGATAAGTTTGTTGCTGGTTAAATTCTCAGAGTTTAAAACTTTTAAAAATATGATATCTGCGTGCATGCAAATGACCATCTAAACGTTTTTTTTTTTTTTTAAATCCTTACACATGGTGTGCAGTGCTTTTAAAGGTGCTTATTTTTGCTTTTCGTTCTTTAAAAGCCCTTTAAGGTGCTTTTTTTATTGGGTGTTTTTGAAAAGTGCTTAATTTTCCCTTTTCTAAAATGAGATTTTTACCACGTATTATGCAAAAGCGTAGTTTTCACATTGTTCTATTCAAAGTTTTCAAAATTCATTCAAGCACAGTGCATTTCGGCGTATCATCGGTCCTTCGTATCATAGTTTNTTTTTTATAGTTGTTTGATGAAACACTTGCGGTCCGCTTGTGCTTGTGTGAGCTGGATTCGGTGAGATTTTTACTCTCTCGTGTGCAACTCTGCTGCATTTCGCAAGATATTCTCAGTTTCAGGCTTCATTTCCCTCCCTCTGAAATCGAACCGAAAAATCTCTCGATCTTTTCATGGTGGCTGATATAATTTAAAATAAGAGTTCTTTGTCAGAAACTATAGTTATTTTATCATGATCATGTTAAGTCTTTGAAAATTATTTTGCATTTTGTTATTGCATTTAGTGCTTATAAATATTTTTTTAATGCTTAAAATGTGCTTATTTTTGTTGAAAGATTTGACTACGCGCCCTGTTACAGTTAAGCTGCAAAAAAGGTAAGAATAGTGCAAATTCTAAACGAAGATTACATCAATTGTGATTGTGAACTTATTACCTTCCACAGTACCATTCGTTTTTGCACCTAGAACATCGTTTTAAGCCTATTCCACCGCATGTTGCGCAGATTGGAGTATCTGGAAGAGCAGCTTCAATATTCGTAAGATCAAAGGAGCCGGATAACCTACAATCAACGTTTTCTTATATTGTAAGTAGAATTTTAAAAAAAACTGAAAGGATATGCTTTGTTTAACCCATTTTAGGGCAAGCATAGAAACTTTATATAATGCGGTGTTATTTTAATTGAAATATGCTTGCATTGCATTCAGTAAGACACAAAAAAATTTCATGTGTGAAAAGTTATATTTCATTTAAGAAATAAAATGGTACATATAAGACCATTCACTAAATCAATGAGCAAACCATTTAGTTGAAAGCTTGTTTTTAAAATTAAATTTGCTTTATTTTATTTTTTATTTACTGACTTGATACTTTATATAGCATGAAAACATATGATATACCTCAAAAGGGATAATTAATACATTTTCAAGAAATTTTATTTGTCAATAGCAGTTTTAAGTTAATAAGCTAGTGAAATTTTTAAACAGAAAGTGTTTACTCTAATTGAATTACTATTATTTTATAGACGCCTTCAGAATCCTTGACAATAGCAGAAAAATAAAATTAGTGAAAAATATTCGTCACATTGTTAATAAAAAAATATTTATTGAAATGGTGCTTTTGGCCGAAAATGGGTTAAAGAAAATAATATTAAATATATGCTTTTTCATTAAAATATTTATTATTAAAAAATATATTGCTGATAAGTTTTCCATACTGGTTACAGCTCAAAATGTGTGTTTTAATTTATAACCGTCGTTGAACAGCCAACTCAATTTTTTGGGTTTACGACTACTAATGTTCGACTCCGTAGCCTTTTGAACCCTATCCAGAAGACAAGGGAACTCCTGGATCAAGTATTGGGAGAAAATTGTCTTCGTGAATGAATTTTTTTGATGAAACTAACCCGCATTTGCGTTAAACCATGAAAAAAAACCCACGGTTAGCCTGACGGCAAGGGGACTCTAAACCATGATCCGTCTACCAATGAGAATATTTTACGTCAGCACTGGTTTGTGCAAGCCGGATGCGGAAATCGTCTCGACCAGACATCGCTGGGATTACATCCTGGTTCACCTCATTGGAAGGCCATCATCGCTCAAAATGTGAGTTTTTATAAAAATAGACATAGCTCAAGTGTTCAACCGAAATTTAACTAAACGAGGAATTTTGTGCAAACTGTTTCTTGTTTTTTTTAAAGTCTAACAAGGGAAACTAGGGAAGTGTGACTAGCCAATTTTGAAATAAACTAGTGGGATGTATGCCTTATGAGGAATAATTTTAGGGGGCAACATTCGTTTTGGCCCATAGAAGGTCCTGTGTGAGATAAAAAATAATTCAATATATAGAAAAATCGGCACTTTATTACTTCAATGCAGACTATTAGTTATTGTAATTGTCTCATGCTCTAATTAATTTTGTGGTACTTTTACGTACTATATAATGAATATTTGTTGTCAAAATTGATTTCGAAAATTTTATATATCTGTAGTTTTTCAGAAAAACCTGTTAGGTTAATTTTTTAAAAAAAATTGACATAAAATTTTTTTACATTTTTTTTCTTCAAAAAACTTTCCAAATTAATTGGAGTATGTAATTGCAAATCAATAAACTAATTAATAATTAGTTAACAATTAATTAATAATTAAATAACACTTAATTAACAATTAATCAACAATTAATAATTAATAAACAATTAATTAATAATTAATAAATAATTAATTAATAATTAACTTTCTGAATAATTTAATTATGAGCAAATTAATTAATTATCTAATTAATTACAAATTAATTGGAGTATGAGATAATTACAATAACTAATAGTCTGCATTGAAGTAATAAAATACCGATTTTTCTATATCTTGAATTATTTTTTATCTCTCACAGGACCTTCTATGGGCCGAAACGAATGTTGCCCCCTAAAATTATTCCTCATAAGGCATACATCCCACTAGTTTATTTCAAAATTGGCGAGTCACACTTCCCTAGTTTCCCTTTGGTTTCCCTTGTAAGCATAATTGGGTACTTGCACTTCAAGAAGAAGAAGACCTCCCATACCTACACATGTGATCCATGACGTCATCGTCAGCTAAACTTTATCAGCAAAAAAGGAGTATTAAAGTTGAGCTAAGCTTCTCTACATAAGTTAGTATGTTAATTAACGATAAGTTTATTAAATACAGAGCCCCATCAAGTTAGTTGAAATATAATTCTTTCTCGTCTCCTTCTTTTACTTAACTTAGATTTAGTATTTGTTTATGTATTTTATTGTAATCGTGATATATTTTTGTTTTGCAACTTCGATGCATAATTAGTAAGGCCCGGATTTTGATGACATTTGCATTTTTGGACATTTTTTGTCTTTTAGAGCATTTTTTTTTAGATTTATAGGGCATTTTTCTTTAAATTTTGGGTTTGGGCATTTAAATTAATTTTTTCCAATTTTTATTATTTTTCATCAATATTCATTATTACACTGGCTTCCAAACAATGAAGAAAATCTATAGAATATTAACAGGTGAAGCAAAATCTTTTCAAATTGGCGAAAAATTGTCAGTAAGTGAGACCGTCTTTTTCAAGTACGCCCTTAAAACATCAGTAGACGTTGAAAGAAGCTTCTGCAGGAATGAAAATTTACTTTCAGACAAGAGACGCTCGTTTACATTTCAAATTATCAAAAAACATTTAATAATCCAATGTAATTCTGATATTTAGTAATATTATGAGATGGAAGTTGTTGTATCCATTAAAGTTTCTATACAAAATAAAAATATTTTGGTGTCAATATATTTTCCTTTTTTTGTTATTTTAGGATATAAAACAAATTTTTCCAACTTTAATGAACGTAGAACAAGTATTGCATTGTTTTATATTTTTTAAATGACTCATAATAATTTTAAAGAGCAAAACATTTTTTAAATTCAATATTTTTACTTTATTTAAGGCATTTTTTGCGCAATTTTTGGATTTTTAAGGGCTTTTTTTGCCCTCTTTAAGGGTATTTTTTTGCATTTTTTAAGGGAGATCATCAAAATCCGGGCTCTAATAATTAGTTTATGTTTCACATGGCAAAGTGTCTGTCTTTGTGTAAATATATAGTGAAAGAATTAAAATCTTTGTGAAAGAATTTAAAATGTGTCACTTAAGAGTATTGATACTTGGTAGGCTTGGTTTACTCGAAATACAATTGGAAAGAATATTAGTTGCTAACGTAAACAAATGTTTAAACAAAACACGTTTCAACAACCAATCAGGATCGAGATACCCACACTAAGACACTTGCAGTTATCCCATTATTACGTTGCGAATTCCCAGCTTTCTTGGTCGGGGTGAATTACAATTTAAGAAAAATGTGTTAAGTGATTTAGTTAAATGCATGACTGCGGGGATGGTAGTTATCGACAATGTCAACCTTCATCTATGAAAAGGTACCTCTACATAGAATCGTGTTAACGTATCTTATATACTAGGGAATTGGAATTGTATTATTGTAGTGGTAAACGCACTACAGTACTCCCCTAACAGAATTATATCCCTGATGGAATTCGATGAACGGGTACCACTAGTTGATTCGTTGCTATTTTGGGAGAGCTGTATTAAGATCACCGTACTTTTAAATGCTAATCGTGAGAGCTGTATTAAGTTCACAGTAGTGATATCTGTGTTGCCGTTAGCAGGCGAGTGTGTAGAGGCCAACGTTGTGTGTGATCGAGACTGAGTAGCAACAGTGCGCGGAGGCGGATAATGTCACAGTCATAAGCCAACTGTTCAATGAAGGCCATCCATTGAAGTAGGCTTATTCAAATCGAAGTGAGCGTTTCTGTCAAGGTAGGTGCTTTCTCATCAGGTCCGGGTCACCAATGTGGGGATGGTAGTCATCGACAATGTCAACCTTCATCTATGAAAAGGTACCTCAACATAGAATCGAGTTAAAGTGTCTTATAAACTAATGAATTGGAATAGTAATCTTGTAGTGGTAGACGCACTACAATGATATTACATTACCTATTTATTTGTTTATTTAAAAAAAAAAAAACAATTTTCAGAAGTTTGAAAAACATAATCAAATGTTATATCGAATTTCTTAAAAATACATTTTGAGCTGTGTCCATTTTATAAGTAAAACTTGTGTAAGTTAGCCACTTGTGGTGCATTGTTTTAGTGGTCAACTTAGACAAGTGGTCAACTTATAGAGGGTGTGGGTCATTGTTTACTTTTCCGTTTCCTATATCATGTTGGTATTTAAATTTTTTTTTTTACTTGACTTAAAAATTTTATTCAGAAAATATGCAATTTCAGAGCATATTTCAGAGCATTCATTTATTCAAATGCTTACTATTGCAACTGGAAGAACAACTTTTCAACTAATACACCTGTTTTCAATGAACGGATGAAGGAAATGGTCAAAAGCTTACAGTTTCCCCTGATAGTCAACTCACAAAAGGGTTTAGATTATCTTTTTACACTATTTCACCAAACAAGTGAAATTTTAACATACGTTGCCAAAATGACAGAAAATTTTCTTAATTTTTCTTTTCTGGTCAACTTATGGGGTTTTAGAATAGAATTTCATAATACTCCTAGATAAAATTGACTTATTTCAGTGGTCAACATACAAGATAGACAGGTGGTCAAGTTACAAAGGTTTTGCTTCTTTATATTATATAGGAAAAATTCCGTTCTTGATAATTGAGGTCAACTTATGCAGGTGCCCAACTTACAAGGGTGGTCAACTTGGCGGGTTTCACTGTATGCATTTTGAGTTGCGTTAATTTCTTAAACACGCAGTTAGAGTTACGTTTAGAATAAGAAGATGAATTACGATATGCTTTTAGCTAACTTGTTTCACGATTTCCTCTGTTATTTAGCCTCGATTTTCCTGGTGTAATGATAGAAATTAATTTAAGCTTTTGACGCAGAATATTTATTAAACATATTTTTCTACTTTGTTTTCATTATTTTGTATTAATTAAGGTCAAAAGAAGTGAAGAATATTATATTTAGCATTTTAATAATTTATAGTCATGAAACACTAGTGCCATTTTCTGCATTATAGGTAAAATCTTCCAAAAAAGGCTCAGTATTAATTTTTCATATGAGCAGTTATTATGATCTAAGAAAAACTATTATTCGTCATTGAAATTTCTCATTTTTTAGAAAATCAATTATTGATGAATATTTGACTATGAATGAAACTATAATTTTTTAAACAACTTTTTTTGAATTTTATATTTTAATACAAATATAATTATGATATGATCTAAGAAAAACTATTATTCGTCATTGAAATTTCTCTTATTTTAGAAAATCAATTATTGATGAATATTTGACTATGAATGAAACTATAATTTTTTAAACAACTTTTTTTTTAATTTTATATTTTAATACAAATATAATTATGATATTCTAACAACTTAGTTTTTGCAATTATTATACTATTAACTATGTTTTAGCAACTACTATATTTTAGTAACTTAGACTGTTTTTTTGTATAGTTAAAAAATACAAAAATATATATTTGCTTGTAATTAGAGGGTCAAAAAAAATTATAAAAGGGACACTTGTGTCCCATGTGCGTCAAACGATTAAAAAAATTCATTCTATTTTGGTATCTCAAGAGTACTTTTTGGTGAAAAAATATGAAAGTTTTACATAAATTACAAATATTTTGACTTTTAATATTCATTTTCATGTTTTTTTTATGAAATGATTTTAGTTTGAATGACACAGTTTAATTATATTTGTATATATTGTACTTGTTAAATTCTGTTTATGCTACAAGTATTATTATGAAATATTTTTTCTTACTTTTAACTTAATGGTTTTTTGAAATTATTATTACCTCGACAAAATCAAAGTAATACTTACTTTTTACAGAATTTCTGAAGCTCGGCATCTGACAAAGAAAAATAATCCTCCATTTGCCCCTGAGCTATTCTATTCCATTTCCCCTCATATTTGTTTTGTAAAGTTTCCCAAATATCTGGAACCTGTTATTTAAAAAATGTTTAGAGGGCTAGTTGAAATAAATAATCAAATAATTATTTTAAACGTTACAGAAGAACATTATTCACACTTAAAAAAATCTTACCTGCTCGATAATAATACCGGTTTTTGGAATAGGAGCTTCAAACATACTGAGATATTCCAAAAACCGTAATAGTTCGTTTAAAATAGGTATTTGGTCGAAGATCACATCATTTAGCTTGGATCTAAGCTGAAAATTAAAATTTAGCTTTAAATTTCTTAAAAATATTCAAGTTGACGATATCTATTTTCAAAAAATTACTCAGTTTTAGAAGATTTATAAATTTGTCTCAATCGTTTGCACATGAATCCTTAATGGAAGCTAACTTATTAATTTATATTAGCTAGAATAAGTTTAAAGCTATGTTTATTTGGCACAAATTTAAATTCTAGACATAGGTTTGATATCTTTTATCTTAACTTCTGAATTTTTTAAAATAAAATATTAGTCTGCGAAAAGAAATTTAAAAATGTTTGCGAAAATTGAGTTTAGAGAATATTCTATACAGTTAAACTTTAACATATATTTCTTTACGTAGTAAAATTTATATGTATTACAGCATTATAGTACTTACTTTTAATAATTGGTCTTTTTTATAGCCTGTCATATCGTATTTCTTTTGGCATTCAGGATTCAGTAATAATTGAATTAAAGCAATCCAGACCTGAAAAGTATTTAGAACTCACATAAGACTAAAAATTTCATTTTTTTCCTATTTGATTTGTTCATAATTAAATTTTAAGTGGGTGGTATTTATATGTCGTGTTTGTCTTTCTCGATAGCTCGGTTCAAATTATTTCTCCTTCTGTTCCACTCTTTGAATTTCAGATAATTGTCTTTCAAAACGATCCACCGAAAATTAAACAGGAAAATAACTTAGATCAGTATCAGTACTTAAATATAATCATTCAACTCATAGACTATGAATTAAAGCAGTGTCTATTTTTTATAATTTCGTTATTTATTTGAAATTCATTAGCTTATTTTAAGATTATCGTTTGGAATCGTTCACTATAATGGCCGCTATCATCCGGACGAAAATCGATTTATCGTTGAATGCAAGAAAAAAAAAGGGAAAAAAAAGAAGAAAAAAGAGCATAAATATTAACTCAGCTAAAGAATCTTCCTTTTTCATTTAAAGAGAATACCAAAGATTTCACATTTAATTTGCAGAAACATCAAAGAAATACTAGGTTATTTGAAACTTATACAGAATAAAATGACAAAATTTCGGTCGCTATGTTGGAATTAACGGTTAAGTGTGTATTATTTAATGGCAACTAAAGAAACGTGTCAATGAAATCGCAAACTGGCCATTGTGGGTTAGTTGTTATATTATCGCTGTAAGGAGGATCGTACTAAAGAACGTAGAAAGTTCAACGATAACATCTCGAATGCAAAAAATTGGTCGTGGTTGGTAGCTTATTATTAGTTAAATGTTTAGTAATCTTTGATTTGTAAAATTTAACCTTACCTCGAGTTCAAATTTCCGACGGCACCTTTAAATACAACAACATAAATTATTAATTTGTAAAGAAAAAATTGGGAAATAAATACTAATAAAGAAAATAATACAATTGTATTATCCTGAACATTTCTGTATCGTCAATATTCTATTTCAAATATTTCCCCTTGTACGCAGTTCATTCTAATTGTTTGTTAATCATTGTACATGCAGGGGAGAGGGCGAAACAAACTTAATTCACTAGTGGGGTAAGAGGTAAAAGGTGAGGTAAAAAAATTAAATCATCCCCTCTTACCTCACTAGTGAGTGGGGTAAGAGGGGTTGATTTAATTTTTTTTTTTTTTTTAATCTATGACTTTTGGACTTAACATCTATATACTTTCGATGACTTTTGGAGAATAGAATATTGTACCCAACAATGAATATCTTGATTAAATCTGACAGTTTCTAGCTCCAACAGGTTTCCCGATTTTACCAACGCCGGTTAAGGTATAGTTTGTCTAAAGTAAGAACTTCCCTATCCATTCGTCTCGACCCGTGGCGGTAACTATGGTAACGAGGTATAACTATTTCAAGTAGGGGTGTAGAGTCACTGTTTTAGGGCAGGTTTTAGGTCGGGTTGGTGAGAGGAAGGGAATCTTTTTTCTTCGGTGTATTGTGTTAGCCCTAGAGTGAAGAGAAGCGACTCTCCCTGAAATGCGCTATTATTGTTTCCATAGCAGCAGAATTCCTCAGACTTTGTGGCGGGGGGAGTTCTTACCGTAGACAAACTATAGTGTTGGTCTTACCCCTTTTTACAAAATGTATTTAGATATTTAAAGTTACCTGTCCCTCTGCTTTGTTTAGTTTCATCAAGTCTTCTTGATTGCATTTAGTCCATTTTCCTTCATAATACTTTTCTTTTTCTTCATTTACAGTTCGTACCCAAGGAGGATCATCAATTAAATTTGTAAAAAGCAATGGTATATCATGGGTTACGAGTAAGCGATGTAAAGCACTCAATGGTAATCTTTAAAGGAGAAACAAATATTTAAATACTTAAAATATCTTCCAAATTTGGATAAACAAATATCATAATAACAATGTGTATTACATTTCAGCACAGTGCGCACACACTGAAAAAAAAGTGACCACCACCTGAATAACTTTTGATCGAATGATCGACAGTATATCCGGTTAACGATACTGTAAGTTACGAAATTGGATCCGAAAACGTAATTCCTCTGAATAAACAATCATTTTTCCCCCAACGGATTCGGATTTCTGTCCCCCAAAATATGGAGAACAGCCTCAATATTTTAAATATAGTCCCAATAGTTAAGCAGGAGAGCAGTCGGCAGTTTGGATCCCTTTTGTTCGTTTCACCTTTTGCATATTTCACTATATCTCCAGAACTTTTTGAGCGAATAAAAAAAAAAATTGCACTCTATCCTGAAGTTCGTTAGTACAAAGATAAATTTCAAATGGAGAGAATTTTAACTATTATTATTTTATTTATAATTATTTTATTTAATAACAGTGGCTAAAGTTTTGAGTTGTGAAGTATACAAATTTTTATATAATTTAATTCATTAAAATTCATTATTTTTAAATAATGAATTTCATTCATTATTTTTATATCATTTAAAATAATATTAATTGATTAAATATTAAAAAAATTTTACATGAAGTATTTTTTCACAGAAAATAGGACGAATTAAAATATTTTTTGAATTGTAAATTATAGGTACTTTTTCTTTTCTGGGGTCTACTAAAAACAACAGAACAACATATTATTGAAGCTTAATTAATGCTTAATTAATGAGATAATTAGGTACTATTGGTGCGGTAATGGGTGCCTAATACTCAAATATGTACCGATTATACAAATATAGATTCTTTAGAGCCGTAGTGGCTCAGGGGATAGAGAGCTCTCCTCCGAATGATCCTGGGTTCGAATCCCAGTGGTGGCTGATCGATACGAATTATTCACCCGGCTCGCACCGACCACAATGCCGACATAAAATATCCTCAGTGGTAGACGGATCATGGTCCTCTTGCTGTCGGGCCGACCGTGGGAGGTTTTCGTGGTTTTTCTCTCCATGTAACGCAAATGTGGATTAGTTCTCTCGAAAAGCCTTCCACGAAAGCAAATTTCTCTCTATACTTAATCCGGGAATTCCCTTGTGTTCTGGATTGCGTATAAAATTATACAAGGCTACGTAGTTGAGCACTGGTGGTCGTAAATTCAAATTTGGTTTGGCTGTTCAACGACGGTTATAAAATAAAACAATATAGGAGCTTTATTAATTGGTTTCTTACGCCCCACTTCCGAAACGGAAATGTACCGAATTTTGTTTAGCAGTTTCATACGATAAATAAGTACAGATTTTTCGTACATTGTAAAAGTTAAATTTAACTTGTTTTTAACTGAAAGTATAAGTTCGAAATTTTTCTTCTATACATTCAACAGAGAAGTAACATTTACTTACATTTTGAGATGTTGGGTCATGTATGATAAAAGGGAAATGCATTTCATTCCAGATTCAAAATCCAGATCTTTCTTTTGTTCATATAGAACGTTTGCTTCTTCTGCAGATCGTGAATCTGCATGGGATTCGTTTTCCAAGCTAATATATTAATTATTTATTAATTAATTACATTAATAAACCAAGTAAGTAAATAAATAAAACAAATTTTGCGTTTTCTCTGGTATAAGAGAAGAGTTGGTATATCTGATGTCCCCACGGGTGTCTTGGGATATTCATCCACTTTTAGATGCACGTGGATAATTTTTTTAAAGAATTTTTTCCGCACATGCGCTGTATAAAGCAACTACTTCAATTACTCTTATCTGGCGCAGTTTTTATTATTATTTTTTTTAATTTTAAAGCAATAATTTCGTTATCAGTTTAAAATTGATTCAAACGCTTTGTTTAATTTTTTCATAAATATTTAAGCTATAGCAAAAGTGGCATTAGACCTAGTATATATTTCGGACATTTACCTAAGGTCTAGTCATACTAGATTTGGTTAAGCGCCATTGCCCGGCATACATTTGCCCGGTATATCCTACACTGATGTTTTTTTAAGGTCAAGTGCCATTGCCCGGTATACATTTGCAAGGCATACCCTACACTGATGTTTTTTTTAAGGTCAAGTGCCACTGCCCGGTATACATTTACCCGGTATACCCTACACTGATGTTTTTTTAAAGTCAAGTGCCATTGACCGGCATATATTTGCCCGATACTCCAAATACTGATGTTTGTTCTAATCTATCGTCAGTAAGTATTAAAATATCGAATAAATGTAATTATATCCACGAATAAATTAATATCAAATCGGATGTAATAAATATTTCGGACATTCACCAAAGCGACTAATTTGATTGTTAACATTCACCGGTGAAAGTCAACAACCACCGATTTCGGTCATTCACAGTAACATGCACATCATTTACATAACCTCATCAGGACGATTATTTCATACTTTGCCTAAATAGCATCCGGTATTTCAAAAAATAAAAATAATTGGTTTTGTTGGCGATGATCTCGTAAGGCAGTGTTTCCCAAAGTGTGGTACGCGTACCCCCAGGGGTACGGGAACAGTTTAAAGGGGGTACGCGTTCTTATGCGAAATATCTTGCAACAAACGAAAATTTCAAAACATTTTATTTGCAAACAAAGCTAGCCAAGACAATTTACGATTATGTCTTTTTCTATTGGCTATTTATGCAGAGTTAACAGTTAACAATTAGTGGTGATAACAGTTAACAATTAGTGGTGATAACAGTTAACAATTAGTGGTGATAACAGTTAACAATTGGTGGTGTCAACAGCCAGTTGTCATTTTCAACTTTAGTGCAATTTTTCATGGTAAAAAATACATTCATTTTTTTTATTAGTGGTACACAGCGTTACGAAAAATTTAGAAAGGGTACACAAAAGTCATAAGTTTGGGAAACACTGTCGTAAGGCGATAAAGAATGATGTACAGGTAAGGAAGATATTAACCTTGAAGGAAAAGTGGATGAATACCCCAAGGAACCGTCACCACGCGACAACAAATTTTTTTCTTCAATTAATCATCTGATGAGTTAGCACAGTGGTTCTCAAATGGAGTTCCGCGGAACCCTAGGGCTCCGTGGAAGAATTAAAGGTGTTCCACGAGTAAGTATTTTTATAACCAGTGATGAGTTTTGAAATCTCTGATTATATTTAGACAACTATAATTTATAATTTATTTAATCTTTCGGTTGTTTTTATGAAATTATTTCAAGTAAAATTCTAATGAAATAGAAATGACATTTTTTAGACGAAAATATATTTCTAAGACATGGTGCGTAGCGTTTTTAAAAAAAAACTTAAAGGTGCTTATTTTTGATCTACATTTTTTAAAAATCAAAATTATTTTGCGGAATGCCTTCATTTCATTAGAATTTTAAAAAATTAGGAAGTTTTAGTTAATTTAAATTGGTTTTCATATTTTTTTTCAATCTTTAAATATGTTTACTTATTTACAGGGTGTCCCAGGGTCATTGGGACAAACTTTAAGGGGCCGTAGGGAACATCACAAGGATTCAGATTTGCATATAAACCCATGATAGGAAACGTTTTCGTTCGCAGCTAGGGGATTAACTGGTTACCTGGCCACCACGCTCTCCTGATTTAAGCAGCTTGGATTTCATTTTTTAGGGTGGTCTCAAAATTGCTGTGCTTGCAGCACCTGTGGATTGCAAGAGGGATTTTGTTTGCAAGAATCGTTTGTGCTGCTGTAGATATCCCACAAAATTTAGGTGTATTTGAGTGAGTCAACCAATCCATGGCCCGATGGTGCAACGCATGCATAGCTAGCAATGACAGAAACTTGAAATATTTCACATATCATGTGTCACAGCACATGTAATATCTTCGATCAATAAATATTTCAGATTCTTGTGTCTCTTTGTTTTTTGTACCGTTCATACTACTTTCCGCTGACGTTTCGGACCATGAGTTGCGGTGCAATTCAGAATACTTTAAAGTTTATCCCAATAGTTCTGGGACACCCTGCATGAACGAAAAAAGAAGAGGAAACATGTGTGCTGTTAAATATTAGTCTGATTTTTATTATATAGATCATGTTTACCTGCTTAGTTTTATAATTTTCCGGTAACAATAGTCAATTAAATCAATTAAAACGTCCGCAGCAGTTTCGAAGACATCTTCATGAAACAAAACAGCTTCCAAAAACGAAACTAAAGTCACCTCATGATAAAGCTTTAAAAAATATATATGTTATTAGCATCAATAGCAAATTCATATTTCTGTTTATAATTTTTTTCAAACAATGCATTAACATTTATAGAACAATTTACACGAAAGCAGTCATACCACGATATAAATGGGAACATTCGATTTCATGACTGTTTGACTTTTTGTCAACAGAGGGAATATTTTCAGTCTCCATAACTCAGTAGCTATCAATTCATGGACCAACAATGGAACCTAAGGAAGCAACTTCAGTTAAGAAAGAACAATTAAAAGAAATCACCTTAAACTAAGTCCAAAAAAAAAAGGAGTTTATAATGACTTACTGTACACTCAAAGAATAATTAAACGCACCCTTGATTTCGAACGAAAAACAAAAAGAATTCGCCCAATTGAACCACAGCGCAGTGCTAGTTTGTTGCTTCCAAATTAAGACGATAAACTATACCATATTTACGTTCAAGTTTAGTGATAAAACATTTTTCAATTCGCTTCAAAATTTCTAAAACATAGTATGTTACACATAAACGAAGCTTATATTTCTGAACATTCACAAAAATCATTTCTGTTCATGAAAGAATTGTAAATCCTCATAATATAACAAAAACAAAATATCCACCCACCTATTCTATTTTATAAATGAAAGAATATTCTTTACAATTACAACTCCAACAATTTAAGGAATATCAGATGCAGGGTGTTCCGTAATTGCCACCCTTACTGAAACTTTTTGTAAAAAATGATATTAATATAATAGCGTATGTATTAAGGGTCGCTAAGTAATATACAAGCGGAATAAAAGAAATGAAATGACTGAAACAAATCAAAACCTGTTTGATTGGCCGAGGTAAAATAACTTAAAATTTCCACTGGCAATCAAACAGTTTTTGGGGTGTTTTAATTCCGCTTTTTTTTAACTGGGATTCGTCAGAATTCGATTGCGTTTTTCTTTTTTATTCGCTTGAATATTAACCTGAAACCCCTAATTCTTATAACTTTTCAACTTCATTTTTGACAAAGTCTAAAAATATCCATTATAAAGATCAACAAAAACAGTATTTCATTAGATTTAGGTGATTCTAAACGCATTTATCAATCGCACCATGAGAAGAAAATTAACTTTTTGAAGTTTAAGAGATACCTTTGAAAATTTTTAATGTATTTTTGTTACATCAATCTAAGTTTGTGTATCTTAGGCATGTTTTTTAGTGAATTTTCTGTTAAAAACTGTAAAAAATATTAGTGTTAATTTTACAACATAGAAAATAACCTTTAAATTATATGTTTCGTTCAGTAACCGACGCGAAACAAATGCCACTAGTTTAATATTCTTTAAAACTGTAATAAACATAAAAATATTATTTCTCAATTTACTTTTCTTAATTATTAACTTTACATAATTATTTAGTTTTCGGATAAAAATTCTAATAAATTTTGCTATTGAATTAACAAAGCTTCAAGTATTACTGTCTCATAGTGTAAAAGTAGATAGAGTTTTTGTTGTCGTATGCCACTTGTCAGTACTAACAAGCTAATTTTAAGGCAGAGGAGTGCGCTTTACTTGTCTTCCAGTGATGATATCGATGGCCAATTATTCGACTTCTGCCACATACGTACGTCACAGCCCGTTTTTCAGGGAGGACGCATTCACACACCATCCATAAATTTTCAGATCGTAATTTTCACCTGAACCAGAGCACGAACAATCTCCAAATGATTTGTAAAGGGAACTTGGAGGACTTAGTCACCTCGACAGATTTAGTGTGCACCAGTCACCATTTTGAAGGGGGGGGGGAATCGAACTCACGACCGTCTCTGCCAACCTTACTATACCGACCCATAGATAATATGTTTCAAGGTATACGAAAATGAAAAATCTTCTAGAATACAATAACAACGAAAATCTACCTTATGCAAGGTTATTATATTTTCTTTTATTATTTCTTCTCGTCCTGATTTTACATCTAAAGCAGCTTGTAGCGATAGGTTGTAGATCTTTTCCTGCTGATTGAACCATCTAAAAAATTTTATAAATATTTTATCGACATGAAATAATTTCAAATAAACGTATTTGCTGACAAAAGATCAATTTAGAATACTTTTTCAGCAAGTTTCACAATAAAGGAAAGTAAAAAATAATAATGCTAATAGTTGCCACAACAATGACTGCAAATATTTATACCGTTTATAGCAGTGGAAAAAAAACGTGAATAAGGTACAGAAAGTACAGCTTAATTCATGTTGTTTTCTCATAGCATAAGGCCTATCCATCATTAATTCCAAACGATCTTTTATCAAAGAACAGATAAATGTATTTCTGTGCATGTTGAACTGAAAATTACAAACTTTGTTTAACATAATTCTATTTTATGTTGTTTTATTCATTCATTTATTTATTTTTTTATTTAATTTGTGCAAAGAAAAATTTATTTTTCTTGCTAAATTATTTAAGGAACTGTAATTTGCTAAATGGTTATTAAAAATTTTATTATTGAGTTTAGAAATTAGTTTGTGGAAACAAAAAATGGCTGTAATATATTCACCTTGGACTTCCAATATTTGGTATATCAAAAAGTTGTAAGCTTTCCAGATAAGCCTCGATTTCGGGAGCATGTAAAATAATATGTTCTTCCTCCATAGCAGTCTGCAAAAAATGTAATTTCTGATCCTATTTAGGCTTAATTGCGTTTTGTTACCAAGGAAACGAAAAAGTTAGTTGCCATGACAAATGAGTATAAAATTGCTCTATTCTCAATATTTCGTTACAGAAAACATTAAGAACTGGAATTTAAAAAGATTTTTGTGTCATCGCAATTTCTTCCATTTGTACATTTTAAATTTATTTCGAATATTCGAATCATGATAATGAGGATAAAATTTATTTTGTAATTTATATTTGTAGAAATGTAAACTGTTTTAGACCTATTTGTAGAAATAACTTAGCTGTTTTGTTTTTAATTTTTTAACTACGTTTTTCAAAATCTGTCTAATAAATAGAGTGGCTATTTTTCATATTAAATAACGTAAGGCTTGCATTGGACTAGGACTGGGAAAGCGTATGCACTTTCTTTAAGAATCGGAGCGGCGATTCCGAACTTATAAGTATTATTCCGTTTTATTTTTCGTTCTAGATATTATTCCGTTTTAATTTTTTTTATTATTCCGTTTTATTTATGGGGTAAAAGGTGATAATCCATGTTTTGTAGTTAAGGGTTAAACAAGATATTTATATTTGCATAAAATATATGATTGATAAATATTATTTGTGCTGAACTAAAGTTCTTGTAGAATTAGTTGTCTTCAGTTGGGACGTAAAATATTTATAACATGTGGGTTATAACTCTTTAACCTTAGATCTTCAACTAAAGAGTTTAGTCGAAGTACATGTAAAACAACAGTTTAATTAGTTTGTGAAAATCAGTTTTAGAATGTAGGAGCACCATCAAGTAGCTATTAATTAAGTTATTAATAAACAATCATATGAAGAAAAAACAACCTTATGATCGCATTGCCTTTCTTTAAAATATAAAATTTGATATAGAGATTTCCGACAACAGCCAAAAAAAGAAACCGAAATGAAAAAAACTTAATGAAAATGACTTAGTAGTATCCAGAAATTTGAACACTTTAAAAACATAACTTAAAATTATTTTTTTTTACTAAGTTCTTTAATTAGTTCTGATACTTTAATTTTTTTAATTAGTGCATAAAAATTAAATTTAATAAGTTATGTAAAATTGTGTAAGTTTGTATCATAAATTACAATTATAAAGCTCGATTTGATACTGGGACTTTTTACTACTCACGTTTTTTAAACCATTTCACAGTACGCAAAAAACAGCCATTTTGTTTGAGGATTTAACAGTAAATCCCACTCACCGAAGACTTTTTGTGTTCATCCGCCGTAAAAAAATTTTAAGCACGATAGCTGTGAGTATGAGTAGATAATAAATGAGTATATTATAGCGTCTGGGAACTGACTGAATTATTGACAATGGAAATTTGTTAAACTTATGAAATAAATTAAGAAAAATATAATCCTTTTTTCATTGTTGCGATGTGAAAACAAATTATATATGTATAATAAATTTTTTTAACACAGGGTGATAGGGATCAATAATTATGTTTCTTGTGTATAAGTTTAGAGATTTTAGGAACATGAAACTTTTTAAAGATAAAATGAATGAAATGAATGTTGATTTTTCAATAATGCTAAGGGTTTTGCACGCCGTTCACTTCGTTCACCAACCCCAGTGGTTGCTTCTCAGTATTGAAGATCAAAGGGAAAGAACGGCTTAGGTTCTTTTTCTTACAAAAATTACAATTGGATTGCCGTCTGATGCATTTTGAGGATGACTAAATTGTGTCAAATCAAAAACATGGAAAATAGTTACTTCCATCTTCCCGAGAGTTATTACTAAATGAAGTTCCTGTCTGTGCGCAAATTCGTTTTCCCCAGAATCACCTTTAATGGACATAGAAAATATATAATTATTATAAATTTAATTGAGTACATTTCATTAATATGTTAATAATAACTAAATGAAATGATAGCAGGATTTGTAAAATAATCAGATGCACCGGAAAAATAAATTAAATTTAGGAATGTTGATTATGCGAAACAATAAGCAGTAATAAATGAGATGTAATTTTAACTCGTTAACAATATGTAGCGATAACCTTATATCATAAAATAACAATAATTTTCGAACAAATACGAATTTCGAGAAAAACTCTCCTTAAATTTATAATTGAAGCTGTCAATGTTAAAGGGGGGTATGTTACAAATCTGCACTTTTGAGATAAGCCAAAAAAAAAAAAAAGCGGTGTCAATTGTGAAAAGATTGTTTTGACTGCTTTCAAATTGTTGGATTTTTCTTCTTCAAGCAGTCTAGAAAATTACTCGATATTTGATAATCGGTGATTGATATTCCAAAACCTACAAAAAACTTATTTTCATAAAAATGCTATATGCCCCATTTTAACAATTAAATATGATCTTATCTGCACGTCAAATTTCAACTCTGTAGTTTCCTTTCAGCGGTCAGTAGATAGACCAACTTTTTTTTTTTTTTTTTTTTTTAATGTAAGTTTAACAGTTGAAAGCCCTCAAACTAATCATCAAATCGTTTTTTTTTTTTTAATTCCATTGAACTTATTGTACATTTTTATACACACCATTGTAATTTCAAGTTTCTAAGTCTTATAGATTTTATTTTGAGCAACAAATTTAATCATTGAGCTGCAAATTTAATAATAATTAATTGATACAAATTTAACCTCGGCGCAAATAATAACTTTTTGCAATGTAATTTTCATAAGAGTGTTAAATATATACAATATATTGTATTTGTATCTTTCTGATGTTAGATTAATATCATTTTGCTACTTGGGTATATTCGAGATGATTACTGAACAATTAGAGAAAAAAAATAATTTTTACGATTTTACAAATTATCGACCTTTGTAATCCATGGTGTTATTTTTAAAGAGCCGCGATGACTCTTGGTAAAAGCATTGAGTTGCCATCGTGAAGGACTAGGGTTCGATCTCCAGTGGTGGCTTGACGCAGATTCAGCTTCAGACCGTTGAGTACCAGTACCAGTAAATGCTGCTTACTCGCAATACTCACCTTATTGTTATAATCATGAAGTTGGTCACAAAATTAAGAAAACTTAAACTTTATAAACCTTCTGGTTCTCAACGGACTGTTTCAGGAATACCAGAAATTTCTAAAAGAATTCGACTGCACATTTCCCTCAGCTCCTCGATATCCCAGCTGCCTTCGTCGGGATTCATATGATGCTTGAGCTTTGCTGTCCTCCATACATTATCCTAATACAATGAAATAAGGAAAGATCATGCCGTATTTAAAGAGAATAAACAAGTAGGTAGGTACTTTATTTATGTAGCACTATAACTGCACAATATGCTATTCGCGATGCTCTGGTAAACATCCCTGAGGATGATCCGAAGACACACCATTGCAATTTTTATCCTCTGCTTTGGTAGGCCGACGACCTGCTCGCACAGTCGAGCACTTTACGGTAAACCAGTATAACGAGGACTAATACTGCGCATGCTCGGTCCCTATGCAGGGTGATCAAAGTGGTCACCCACCCGCTTACTGATAGCAGTCAGTGATGCTCGACTTCTATGTTCTACTCATGTTCTACTCTGCAGAGGATCAAAATTGTTATGGCATGTCTTCGGATGTTTTCCAATCTGTTGTTGATAGCATATCGTGCAGCTCGAGTGCGACGTAAATAAAGTACAGCCTGGAAATGAATCCTAAGAAACCTAAGAATTGAGGCCGTCATGTAAGCTATAAGCTGACTAATCAGTTCAGCATTAATTCTTAGCATTTGTTAGCTTTTTCTACTCCCACGTTTCTTCCCGGCGGTTTCGTATTGTTATGGCTTAGCGTCCAAAACCTCATTTTTTTTTAAAAATTATTATTGGCGTAGTATCTTTTGTTTCTGTAATATTCTTGATTATAGGTAAAAGGAGATGAACTATTTTAAATATCATGGTTTTCTTTGCTTTATTAATCTAATTTTTTAATTTGAACGCTCAAAAAAAATTTTTTTTGTAAATATTTTATTCGACTGTGAAATGTTTCTTTTAAAATGTCCTTTAGCTCTCCTAACAAGCAACAGATTCGCTCTGATAAACAATCTATTACTTTGTTTCAAGCTATAATTAGTATTTGAATGTTTTATATTAAGGGTAAAAAATGCCTGTTTCTTATATAATGTTGGGAGCCATATTTTATATTCCAATAGATTGTTTAATTAGTTATTGATTTGAAAGTTTCAACATTTAATTTTAATCATTTCAATTGATTATTCTAATTCAGAATGAATCGAAGATTTATTTTCTTGTTAAAAACAATAGGATATTCTAATTGACTCTGTCAACTGCTTAATAACATCTGCATGACATTGACTACAAATTTATGCTTCTGCGCAACTTAATTCTGCATCCATAATAGGATTTTACTGGTAACTGTTATAAGAACATTCAAGCTTATACTCAAAAATAATTGAATTTATATTTGAATAATGAGAGAATTGGAAGAAAAAAAAATGGCATTAATTGAACATTTTTGTTTTGCAGCCATCTATGAATATAAAAAGAAAAAGAGATTATATTTAAATGGAGAATTAAAATTATTCAAAATATTTAAATAAAGCTTATATCAAGTTACACATTTATTAAAAATTGGAGTTTGATTTTGTAAATTTTTGTAGATCTCTAAAAAAATTTTGAGATTTCTGCATCGTGATCTGTGGCAGAGTAATTGCTGGGCAGTGTCCCGCAAGAAACTAAAAAAAGAAACATCACAGAAAGGGACCAACTTGAAAGGTATAACTCTTTTTCCCTCCCGGGCAAACATCTAAATTTTTAAAAAAAATTAATTTGCAAGTTTAAACTCTATTTGGCAATTGTAGTTGGCTTGACAGGTCACGATACAGAAAAATCTCAATAAAAATATTTTAAATGGAAATATAGCTAATTTGTGCAGCTCTAGTGTGATGTAAATAATGTACCCGCCTACCTAACTTACAAATATTGACTTAGTTTTACCGAAAATCGATAAAAATTTTAGCTAAATTGTTAATTAATGTTTAAGGTGAATTATTAAATTTTTAAGCAATTTAATAAAATGTTAAACCAAATCAGATTTTAAAATATAACAGGTATCTTTTTCTTTTTTCAATATTTTTTTATTTTTTTTCCACTTTGCCACATTTCGCCATGTTCTGTACTCTGTCACATTTCATGCTATGACACATAAATATATACTTGCAGTTACAAGAAACTGTTTTTTTGTCACATATGTTTCAAATTATATTATCAACCTAGGTCTTTTAATGGCATTTGTAAACATAATAATAATGCTAGATTTTGAATGTACTTTTTTATTAAAAAGGTGAAAAAACTATGAAAATAAGTTTTTTTTTTATTTCTAATGGTGAGGCAATACAAAGAAATAATTAAAACAACAAATTCAGAGTAGAACAGATGACGTAAAAGAAATTGAATGAAGTCATTGTCGCATTAAAAGTTCTCTTGCACGAATATAGTGCCGTCTCAGAGTCACCATGGAGCGATGAGCAACGGTGGAGGTGGTCTCTATTCATCTATGAAAATAAGTTATAGAAAAATATTTATTCTAACCATAATGTGTGGTTTACACTTCTGATTACCTTCTCCGAATTTCACGAACATTAGCCCTCTCTTTTTTAACTATGATGCTTGTGAACAGACTGCAAATGTTAAACAATGAAACAAAACATTTAAAGGATATGGCATGTTTATCTTTAAGGACTATAAACATTTATAAATCAAACTAGAATGTAATTCAGTGTCACAATCTATCGCATTAACTATAATCGCTTAGATGCCAAATAGATTTTAAATTATTTTTATATTAAAAAAAAAACATGTAGATGTTTGCCTGAGGGTGGCAGCGAGTCGTACCTTTCGAATTAGTCTTTTTCTGTGACACGTTTTTTAGTCTCTTGCAGGCTGCTGCCCGGAAGTTGCCAAGACATGGCGATTATTTTGCCACAGTTAACGATACGGAAATCTCCCCTCAAAAGACATTTTAAATTTTATAAAAATTATTTTAAATTATATTTTGAACTGTTTTAAACTTGATTTGTCTACTGTGTGGCAGTTTTGTTGTGGGAAATGCTTGAAGGAAAGAATTCGATTTTAATTCTAACTTGAGATCAGAATCTAAAAGCACTTATTATTCGTTTCTTTTTGGGTCTTATTTTAGTCCTTTTCTAAAAGAAAGTAAACAGTTTGGTAAATCTTGAAATGCGTAAGTTGAATTAAAATTATATAGATGCTATTTCTTTTCTATAAAAGATAAAGAAGTATAATATGTTAATGAACAGGGATATGAAAATGTGTTTTAGTTTTTCAGAAAAGAGAATTGAGATAAGAAACATTTGAAAAACATATGTAGGAAGAATGTTTTTTTTTTTTCTATATGTGCAGTGTATATTTAGATAAAAATTAGTTTCTGTATGATTTATTTTATTTATTATTTTTGTTTTGAGTCAAAGTTTTAGCTAGTTTTTAGTTTTTTCACAGGGTTACACAATTTTAATGATGATAAACTGAGTAGTAGTTCTAGTTTCATTTTCCCCTCTCTTTTCTTTTGTTTTGCATCTGCGAATGGGATTGGTACAGCTTTGTATATATCATTGTATAGTGATACATATTTTTTTTAAAACTTTAATACTTATTTATTATATAATTACGTGTCTTTTTTTTGTTAAAGAATAAATTATGTTTCAGTTTTATAATATTAAACTGAATAACAAAGCTATATACAGTACACTCTCAATTATCCGTGCGCGCATTATCCGGTTTGCAGATTATCCGTGCTCATTCCAGGGTCACACGAAAAATATAAAGAAAAAAAGTTTCAGGATTAAAAAAATTTGATTCGTGAAGTTATAACACTACCAAATTTTTGGAAGCAATCGTTATTGGATTGCAGTATATGGAATATCAGTAGCATGGTCAAAGGTAAAATCGTCTATATTATCACGATCTTGGGGAAAGATAATATCGCTTGATGAACAATCTTCTTCAGATGTTCAAGAAAAATATGATAACAGTATTCTCGAACAAGCAAAAAAATCTAAGGTTTCGAAATTCTTGATGAAGAAAATTTCGAAGATTGGTTTCAAAGTGATGCATGTGAGCCTGACTTCCAGCATTTGACAAATGAAGACATTGTTATGCTGCTAAATCAAATAGTGATGATAGTAACTGATGCAGAAGATATAGTAAATGAGGGAAATACAATTTCTCATTCTGCTGCTCTGTAAAAACTTCATTAGATTATATGGGAGGATTTGATTACGGTGACATTACTGCGGTTCGTAAAATATGCGTATCGATATATGGCGAAGAGCATGCAAATGTCGGTAATTTTTATATTTTTTGTACTGATATTGATTTTTTCTTTAATAAAAGGAGTTTTCGGATTATCCGTGTTTTTCGATTGTCCGTGTGACCTGTCCCGGTGATTAACCCGGATAATCGGGAGTGCACTGTATATATAAAACAAGAATATGAGTATTTAATATACTGTGTTTAATTTAAAATGTATACTTTTAAATCCAGGTGCTTATTGATAGTTTGAGAATGGTTATTATGATTAATTTTGCTCCCCCTGAAGAGGGAATTCATCATCAGGAACCAAATACGGTTGCCTATTATGGCAACAAAGAATTAGGAAAAGGAACTGTTTACATAACAGAAAAGTAAGTTTTTTTTTTCTTCTAATAACTTATACAGGGTGAGCCAGTCAAGCCTGCATTTTTGAAAAGAGCGGGAGAGCCGTGAAAGTGGGGGGAGCGAGCTACCAAGGTTACCATTTGGTCCCCCATAACTAAGCATTTAAGTCGCCATGGAGCAGTGGTCTGAACAACAACGCTCGTTCGCTGTGAAAGCGTTTTACCAAAGTGGTAGTTATGCAGCCGTTCAGCGTCGTTTCCGGACAAATTTTCAAATTAATTGAAATAGGCCAGTGCCCTCTGTTAATTAAATCAAATTGTGGATGAAAAACTTTGAAGCAATTGGTGATCGAGAGAATTCATCGGCGTATGCTCCGTGATGTGATGAGTAGTTACAGAAATCGCCTACAAGAATGTCTCGATCGGGGAGGACACCATCTCACTGGAGTTATTTTTAAATGTTGTTTCTTAATTGCTTTTTAATGTAGATTAAGATAGTAACAGTAAAATTTTGAAATATCCATCCGTTGATTTTTTACAGTCACTTCAAAAATGCAGGTTCGACTGGCTCACCCTGTATTTAGAGAGATAAGAAACAATGAAAATTATGAAAAAATATGACAACCGAAGCTTACGTCTTCGAGGGGTACCGGCTCCAGAAGCCATAAATGCAAAACCTTTTCTATCGAGAGAGCACAACAAATTTAAATTGCTCTCGCTGTACTCCAAAGGTTTTGTCAAAGTCCCGGAAGAGAAAATACAATACAAAATACATTAAGCAAATACAAAATCAAGACTAATAGATTAGAATAAAATGATCAAAAACTTACTTGGAAACAAATCCTATAACCAAATTACAGTACTGACTACCAAGCAAAGTTTTTATTTAGGCTATATTGTTATATTTAAAAGATATTTAAAACATTTAGTTGAAACTAAAATTATTTTATGTTAGCAAAATGTGAGTGTTTTACTTGTTTTTTGCTCTTTTATTGTTTTTTGTTCATTTCAGGGTTCTGTAGTTGCTCTGATTTTTCTGATGAAAAATATTTTGTTCTTATTTGTCCTGATTTTTGCTTTTTTTCTTGGTATTCTGGATTTGTATCATTTTTTTTTTATGAATAGTATTGCAGTTTTCAAAATGATTGATTTGTGAAAGATTTAGATTTTTGATTTAAACCTTTTTATTTTAATTAATAATGCTTGTAACATAATAATCTCAAACTTTAATAGCTTAAACTTTTAGAGTGATCAATAATTATGATGCTCAGTTCAGACAAATAGCCGTACCTAAAAGACTTCCAGTTTCCAGTTTTTTGGGAATTCAGTCATTTTCTGAAATGGAAAACTTTATTAACTATTCGCTTTATCAAAGTTTTTCAAGGACATACTGTCATTTACTATTTTCATCAAATGCAGTAATAAATTTTGTAGGATGGAGTTTTGCTGTTACATAATTATTTATTCCTCTCTTTCATTTGATTTTAAAATGATCAATACCAATCAATAATACAGCAATCATATCATAGAATTTTTAATGGTCTGCTGAGGGTTCATCCACCAAATTACTTTTGTACAAAAACGTTAAGCAACATATTTGCTGTGGTTTCGTCTCAGGATTGTTGAAACCTTAATTTAAAATTATTTTATTAATGTAATCTCTTGTTTGTTTACAAATTTTAAATAAATATTGGTATGTGGGTATAATAACTAATTTATGCCAGTTAATTTTTCTAAAGCAACAATATTATTCAATTTTTTTTTCACTATTGACCACAAACTGTTATGAGTTGATCACTGCTTCATTAATAAAATTAAAGTGAGAGCTTTTGAAATTTGCTGCTAAATTAAGTAGATTTAAAATTAAAAATAGTGTGTTTTATTATTCTTTTGCAATAAAATATGCTATTATACTTAAGTTAGAGCACATTATATTGTTTTAAATTTATTAATTGTCTTTTTTTTCTTTTTTTAAAAAATCTGGTTTATGTTGATTTTTTGGAAAATGTCCTTATTTTTTAGAAAAAAATTTCCTGATTTTGTTTTGTTTTGTTGAAAAGTGTTCCAATTTTTTTCTTTCTTCAACAACAAAGCCTAGTATTTTCACAAAATATTTTATTTTCTGATAAATAAATAGATTTATTTAGGTTTATTTTTCTAAAGTGCTCTACGAATTTATATGTATGCTGTACATAACATTATAAAAATTTGTGTTGCGGTTTTATCATGTTATATTGATCATACTTTCTTTCAGTATCTTTTGCTGGGTTTCCCATAAGGGTGAAGGTTTCTCTTTGGAGTACCCTAATATATTTATTCATGCAGTTTCCAGAGATGTAACACATTTTCCTCATGAGTGTTTGTTCCTCATGATTGATGGAAAGTTCTGTAAGTATAACAGTTTTTTTTAAGTGTTATTTTTTAAAAAATATTTTTTTACTAATTTGTAAATTTAAAAAGCTTATAAAATTTTTACTGAATATTGTATGTATTTTTTACTGTGTGAAATTCCATTATTAGCATTTTATTAATGTGTATCTAAATTTTTCTTGTAAATATTAGTATCTTTTTTTAGAAGTTCTTTCATTCTTTTTGACATTTGTCAACCAATTAAATATTTCTCTTTGTCTTTTTCAGTTTCTTGTTTTGGTTTTGGTTTTAGCGTTAGTTAATACAATTTCCAATATTTATTTTTTATTAATTTAATATCAGGTCTGAATGTTTTTCTAAATTTTGACTAATTTTCCGTCTTTTTTTTTAAAAAAAAAACTTTTAAAACTGAGCGAGTGGGAACTGTATAAAATTTAAAACGTAATAATTAACAATAAAACAGAAAGATCTACCACTGAGGCATTTTTGTGATATGCGTTGCTGAGAAAATGAGAAGAGAGAAAGTGCCTTTTTTTTTTATTTAAATTAAAAAATTATCAATTCACTTAGATAAAATATTTCTTTTAAAAATATTAAGTCATTTTGAAAATTTTATGAATGAAGAGTGAAAACCTAGCAAACTTTTTACCCAGATTACGTGACTGGACACACTACCCTTGTAAGGCTATATCAGTTAAGAATAAATTTGNATTCCCCGAGGAACTTCTTGGAAGATCTCTTATTTAAACTACTAACTTCAAGAGGAAACAGTAAAGAGGCGGGGGGGGGAGCTTTTCGGAATCTCATTTACCCATAGCTTTTGAGCTAGAGGGAAGACAAGTTGATTTCAAGAAAAGTATTACTAAGCGCGGGGAGACAGGTCAAAAAAATCCTTTCTTACAGGAAAGTGGTATCTTTTTGGAGGGGACACAACAGGGCGCATTTAATTATATCAGGGTAGGATAAAAGGAGTAAAGGGCAATAGGGCGGATATTTTATATCAAAAGGGCATACGGGGCGGGCCGCCCCGTAAACCCCGCTTATAATGAACCCTGCATCTGACTTGACCAAACACTAGGTTTCTCCATCTATTGATGCTCAGGTTTAAAGATCTTTATCTACAAAATTATTCCGTCAGGTGTTCAGTCTTCCACTCTTTTTGGTTGCCAGTAAGCTTTCCGAAAGTCAGATTCTTAACTGAGTCTCAATATTCCCTTCTATAGATGTGACTCATTTTATTCTATAGAATTTGATAACTGAAATTATGTTTGGTTACTTAAATTTTCCTGTATAATTCGTAATTGTACTGAATCCACCAAACACTGTTAACAGCACCAAAGATGGCCCTTTGTATTTTTCTTTAAAATATTTGTTTTATTTTCCTCAGTATTATTTAAAGACCAGCATATGCTGCCTAAAAGTAGTATGGGTTTCATTAGAGTATTATGTAAGTTTTAGTTTCAATGGAAATAAGCTTTGATTTCAGTTGGTCCCTCAATTCAAAATGACACTTATTAGCCATCGTAAGCCTGTTTTTAATTTCTGTTTTGATATCATTAACTGTAACAGTTGTACTTTAGGTATTTGAACTGACTAACATTTTTTAAAATATACATTTATCTTTTGTGTTAAATTATTTTGTTCAAATTTTTTTATTATGCATTTATTTTGATATATTAAGATGATAACATTGGTATTATATTGCTGTTTCTCTTTATCAATATTATATTTCTCTTAACTGTTTTAAATTATTAGCATTGATTAAATTAATATTATTTTATTTTACTTTAAGAACTTGGCCACTTACAGGGCTGATTGTGCTCCGGAAAAAATCCGGATTTCCGGAATTTTTGCTAAGAGTGATCCGGAAGTTTCCGGAGATCGAAGGTTCAGACGTTTCAAAAAATCCTTGATCACAAAAGCTTCCGGAAATCAAATTTTTAAAGGTGGGACTTAAAAACGCAGTTTATTTTATTTTTTCGTAAGAGAGAGCCAGAGAAATACTTTATAAGCTTATGTTCATGATTAATATTCATTTTTTATCAGTAAATAGTTGTTATAATCATAAACTCAAGAAAGAAAGACATATTTGTAAATATTAATTACTTCTCCAGGTCATCATAGGTATATGTAAATGGTATAGGTATGCGTAAAATTTTAAATATATTTTAATCAAACTAGGAAATACTGAGAAAAGGGAAAAAAAAACTTGTTTAAATTATTTTTTAATTTTTCAATTGAAAAGTTTTTTTTTTTTTTTTTTTTTGAAATTTTTCCGGAATTTTGACTTGGGCTCACAATCACCCCTGCACTTAACAAATAGTTTGTGGCTGAAAAATGTAGTGGTTTTTCTAATTTTGCCAACATTTTACAGTCTTTTAAGAACATTAAGAGAATTTGCGACAAGCATTTTCCTCCGACATACTGCACGAAAAAATGTTCGTCGCATGTTCTTCTGTAAAAGAAAAAAATATTAAGTTCAGGCAAACCTAGAGTAAGTCATGAAGTTTCAATTACTGAAAAAAATACTCCAAAATATTAAAATGAAATCAAATTATTTGACGAGAACTTCCCTGTTGCATAATCTTAAGTTTTCATTTGTATAAATAAATTTGATGAGTTCACAACCATGATTTACAATTTTCGCTAATAATGGCAGTTCTGGTCAATAACTTTAAATTAGGGATACAAAAATATTTAAAGAAAAAAAGTACCTTTACAACTTTTGTTAATTTTATGCTGATGACAACCAAAACAATTAGAAATGAATGACGGAAAACTGGATCCTACCACATGATTTTCCCCCCAATAAAAATGCGAACCAAGCTCGCTTCGCTCGCTACTAACTTAGATACATTGCAAATGCACAAAATTCTAAGAATTCAAAACAATCATTCAAATCCATATAACAACTTTTTTTTAAAAAATAATTACATGTTTTTAGTAAATACTATGTCATTAAAATTAATTTGAATTCAAATAAATGACATGTAATTCGTTAAACCTATTAGAAATGTGCTATAGTATAAAATCTTAAGACAAAATTTCTGAAACTGATATCTCTTTAAAAAGGTTAAAATTTTGGCTATAATTAAGTCTATTAAAAATTGAAATAAGTGAATTGCAATGGAAAAACCTGCATAAACAAAACATTGAATTTCGGAAGAAATCTCATTTGGTGAGAATGCTCTCTCTTGTCAAAAAATACAAAATAAACTGACCTCAAATAAAACTCCAAGGACTTCGAATCAAATAATTAAGGAAACTACTATCAC